TGCTCATCCATTGCCTGCAAAGGTTACCTGAAGGTCATTTGAAGCTGAAATTGTCACACAAGCATTATGAATTCAGTTCCCCTGATGCCACATTTCACCTTAATACGTCTTTCATTTGGGGAAACACACAAATATCTTCAAGGTGAAACAAAACTCTATATTGATTAATATTTTTTCCCCTTTCATTTTAACAGAATTTGATTTGGTTGACTTAAATGCAGCTTCATAAAACCAGTGAAGACTTTACTGGAAAATTAATTTAGAGCATACATACTTACAAACTTTTAGGTGCTCCTCTAAATTAATGGAAGCAGCTAAGCAGCATTCAGCAGGGGGGCGATAACATAAATCCTCCAAGTGCAACAGACAGTGGAACCCAATGGACAGACGTGCAGGACATGAGAGATTTACAAGGCAAGAGATGGTCACTAAGTACTCTAATGTGTGTGTTAAAAGACAAAATTCTATAACCATCCATGAATAGGGGTGACGGTGGCACATGGAGTAGAGAGGGTGTGCTGGAAAGCACAAGGTTGGTGGTTTAAATCCAGGCTGCTCCATGTAACATGTCGAAATGTCCCTGAGCAAGACATAATTGCTCCCTAGGTAAAATGTAAAAAAAATATTTAAAAAAAATAAAACATGGGTTAAAATGCAATGTAAGTTGCTTTGGATGTGACAATAGTTGTTGATACGTTTCATTCTGGACAAATGTAGTCATGTAAATCTACTTTAAATCCCCGTTTGAAGGTGATCAGCTGATGTGGGATAAATAGTTCCTTTTTTGAAGTAAGAAACATGTTACTAACACTGCTGTACACTGCAACCTCTTCGACGAAAAGCTCTTGCAGAAGTCCAGGATGGTGAGCTTCCCTGGACATATTCTGCTCAGCCTCATTCTGCAGATTTAACACATGCCTGCCCTTGTCTGCAGAAACACTCTAATGCACTCACACAAAGCTGTGCGCACACACTTTCTCTCATTTCTACTGTGCAAAAAGGCTGCTGAGAAGGAAGATCTGAATCAGAAACAGTTGACTCTGCGGGAAGGTGTTTTTTTTTTTTGACAAGCATTAAGTACCACTGAAAGGAAATAAAAAGAAGATTGTTTCTACTTGAAAGAGAACTGCAGGAGACTCAGTGGCAGCATGTGCAGCATTTGTGTGTATCAGGGAGGTCTGCTTATTTTGGCTCCAGTGTTTAGTTTTACCATGTAAGACCGTGTTTCTACAGAGTGGGTATGACATATCTGTCAAAGTGTGTGTGTGTGTGTGTGTGTGTGTGTGTGTGTGTGTGTGTGTGTGTGTGTGAGATGCGGAGGATTCATGTGCAGTCAGTCTGTCTGAACAAGCGAGGGTTCCAACCTCTTTCAGAGCAGCAGCTGATGGGAAATCATTATGGATCCTGGCAAATGGCCAGTTTGTGGTTACCAGGGCAACCACACCGGCTCCATCCATCTTGGCAATGGTGATGTTTGAGAAACGGCCTGCTTTCTAAACCCTCACTCCCAGTAATGGCTTCTTTGATTGGCGCCCTGCATGAATGAATAAGAATAGGTCAAGACTGGGATTTAGGTAGAATTCATAGCGGTTACAGCACTTGCATATCTTTTTTTATTCAGTAGTTCAGATTAGATTAGTAGATTCACAAACTTCCAATGGCATCTGGTTATTATGGAAGTCAACACTTTGCAAATGTATTCACCCGCATGTAAATTCATTTTTTCAAGGGAACTACACAGAATGAGATGGGGAAATTGTTACTGAATGATACTGAATGCTAATAACTGTCCCTTATAGTCTCTCTTCCTATAATATTCAAATGTATTCTTATTTGGTGAGTTTATTTGGTGAAGGGGAAAACTAAAAAATTGTTTCTTGTAGTAAACATGTTAATATTAATATTGAGAAAAGCAGTGGGTGCATTACTAGATACACAGTAAGCAGAACTTCATTGTTCAGCAGCTAATTTCTTACATGCGAAAATAGAAAAGGGAATAAAGATGAGTCGGCACGTATGATTGGCTACTGCCAATTATATACATTATTTGAAAATCTGTAATGTCACCAAAGTCTCCAGATTCATCAGAGACTCGAATTCAAGCAGAGGTTCATTAATGATAAATCAGACTTTTGCATTTTATTACACCCAACAACACTAATCTTTACCCAAATGAACTGTGTGTCAGGCATCAAGATAACAAACCTGCATTCCTTCCAGATTCCAAATATATTTTCTCATTTGGCCACTTAATTCCATAAAAAGTGTTATCAAAAGGCAACGTGGTGTACTGTAGTTCAAAACATCACACAGCTACTGACAAAAGGTTGTCACAATTTAACGCACTTTTTGTGCGTTTTTCCTTACTTCGACTTGGCTTTTTAAATTGGTCTGTGAATGTCTTGTGAAGGTTTGTAGATTACGATTTGACACCAGGGAATATGGTAACGCGTTGAAAGATGCTTCAGAATTCTTTCAGTGTGTTATTGCTTGTGTGCGCCCCGGGTTTCAGTGACTAATGTTGCTAAGTGTTTCATGTTAATCCTTTTTTGGGAGCAGCCAAGAGGAAAAGCTTCCGACAACCGGCAAAGTTATCACATGCTTCCAGTTTTCACATTGCCCCCCCCCCCCCCCCCTCCAACCACAGAGACACAGAGACAGGTACACACAGGCCTTCACAATGTACACATTGCTGCACTAAAGAAGCACAGAGACGGATGAAGAAAAGTAGAGTAAGACAAAGACAGCGAGAGAGACAGAAACATAACGACAGGAAGACAGAAAGTAGTCTTGCCCCAGCCTGACTTGTACCAGCCCCACCCATACGAACTCAAACGATGTTTAAACCTACATGGCACATGACCAGGCATCTGCCACAACATTTTACATACAGGTTTTTTTTACGTTTTACATAAATGTAAGTTACCAGTGAATGAAAGTGAGTTTATGTTATGCGTCCTCAGTGAACGCGTGTTTGTGTGTTTTCCTCAGATCAAATATTGACATCCCATTCCAGTATCAAGGGGAGTGAAGAAGTGGAAGATTGACTGCAGTATGGAGACAAGATGGAGAGGGAAATGGAAGTGAAAAGTCTGTAGTGAGAGAGTCAGTGCAGAAATATAAAAAATAAAGCGATGGAGTGTAATACAGGCAGAAATTGGAGAGGAAAAGATGGCCAAAAGTGGAATAGACAGCAGACATCAAGAGCAGTGAAGGGAAGGAGGAGGGCAGGGTGGGGAATAGGGAGAGCATGTTGGTGTTAAATGGAGGGTGAAGAAGGGTGAAAGGGACATGCAGCGACCATGGAGGAATAGAGCGCTGGAGGCTATAAGTACCCTTTGCTTACACCCATTGCGATGATATGAAAACCACTCCTACGCAAGCGGGCGCTGAAGAAGTGCCACACCACGACGAGAGTGAAGCGTGCTGAGAAAATGTTCTTTTTAAATTTGTATCTACACTTAATGAAACTAGCCATGTTGTTTAAAAAAAAACATGTGCTGTTTAGAGTGACGAGGTTATAAAAGACAAACAGACGGTCAAAATCCAACGGACAGCTCAATAACAGCATGGTAGTAATAAGCTTCAGAGGGAAGAACAGACCACAACAAGATGAGTCCAGATAGCTCAACTTGTTTCATTTCAGCCAACGCATCAAGCTGAAGGGTAACTGCTTTCAGATGGAGCGCAAAATCTAAAAGCAAATCAGTGCTAATGGAAAATGCTGGAGCACCAACAACTCAGAGACAGCCTGATGAATTCGCCATGCTAATAAAACAAGAAGGCCTCCAAATTAAATGACAAAACACGTCGTTTGTCCATGCCGTTTAGATGGACTGATGTGAGTGTTTTTTGATCTGACTCATCCATCAGCAGGACAGCATCATTTGTCCGTGGCTCCCAAAACCGTACAAATCACTGTGGCAAACATTTTGGTTCATGTTGGAAAAACATCACTGTTTCTTGTTCCCTTAGTTGGGGGTCTTTTGTCGTCGTATTGTGGCTAAAACAACGACCTCTTTAGGGGACACGTGTTGTCAGGGTCAAAAGAAACACAATGGAAACTGGAAACAAACTTGCGGCAGCCTATATGATTACTATGGGTTTGTGATCATGTAACTATATGCTGTATCAGGTTGTGATCACATTTGAAAGAAGCTGGAGACGCTTCACAATAGCTAACCAAACTACATGATTGTGTTGTTAAATTGTTCCCATCTAAATACACAATAAACAACTTTAGGTCTGATTCTTTTCACACTACCAAAAGGTATCAGGCAAATCCACGCTGCCTCGGCGCTGATGCATCGCAGATCGAGTGCAGACATCCAGGACGCTAAACATCTTGACCAGTAGGGAGAGTCTGCAGCTCCCACCCGATCTGTGTGTTACTCGGTGTTTCTTGTAGTAGATAGATCTTTCATATGTACGTATCAAAGAACGGGTTGACTGAAGGACTTAAAATAATGCAAAATGAGTTGTGTTTTTATGTTGTGTCTGTAAATAATGAAGGACATTTTTTATTTTAGTTGCTTCAATAACATTGAGCTGAAACGTTAGTAATAATAGCTAAATCCCAAATTTTTCAAACTTTAACCTTGTACATGCTCGCCAGTATTTTAAAGCCGTGAAGCTGTGAAGGATTTTTACTTGAAATGATTTTGCATTGTGCCTTTGCTTAGTTTGCTTTGATGGTTGTGCGTCTATCCGTTTTTACCAGACTGTGGCGCTAGATGAAAAATCAGAGAATCACAGGAACAGGAACACATATTCTGTGGAATGATGGATGTTAAGAGAAACCCTAGAGACAATTGATTCAAAGAACTGAAACCTGTCAGATCTCCTGGCTGCTCGTGTTTCTTGCAACATCAAACTCATTTACTAAATCTCAGTAATTATCTTCACGATTGCAGTGTTTTCTTCATCGATAGGAATGCATCTTTGCTTTTTTTCACCAACTTGTCGATATCAACCCGTCTGTTTTGGGTCTTGTCTCACAGGTGCTGCTCTCTGGACTGATTGGAGTGGTGTCATGGAAGAGGCCGCTCTCTCTTGTGGTGAGTGTCCTCTCAATGCTGACACTCGGCTGCTCATCCGACAACTCTGAACCAAGCAATGATACTCAGGAGGGGGTGTAATGTTGTACAAGACACATACTTGCACACCATACTTTCTGTCCCTGCATATGTCTTGGCTCACACGCTGCACCGGAATAGAGATAGAGATCGCATATAAGACCTTATTAACTGCTGCATTGTAGCAGACACATGCAGACCAATAATTCATTAATTATGTATCAATTATTTAATATATACAGTATTTTAAACCTATAAATATCCCAAACGATTCCATCTAGGTTTATTCAACACAATGTGACCTGGTGCTTGAAATGTAAAAAAGAAAGCAGCAGGAAATGTCTCACAGTGAACACAGTAAAAATCCCCCCGCGTTGTGCGTTTTCAGAGTGGCGGGCCGACGTTGGCCGGTATTGATTGCACGTCTCTCAGTCATCTTATTTACTTTTTCACCACATCAGGATTGTACCCCTCTCAATGCATCCCTCTTGTCTCGCTACCTCTACATTCATTACCTCGCTTCCCTGCCACACGTACCTGCATCACTTCTCATTCCCCTTCCCCCTTCAAGCCTTTTTGTGCGGTTACACCAGAGAAAGAGGTCTGAATCATTTCTGCTCTTGTGGATCAAAGGAAATCTCATTGGTGTAAGCAGAAATCGGTCACACAGCGTGCACTGTAAAATAGTTAAACCTTCTTACCTCTTTTTATTTCAAAAGCATCACTAATTGGTCAGAATAGTGCGAAGCTGCCAGGATACAGAGATGCCAGTCGGTGGCCACAGCTGCCCGTCTGAAGAGGCGTCTAACGGGTGATACTGGCGTCGTTGTCGTGACTCTAGCATGTGATGTTCAGTGCCGACGGTCAAGATTCTCCATATCTGGCGTAGACCCAGCACTGACAGGCAGGTGATTAATACACCGGCTGGATGCTTGCAGGCCTGGCAACCGTGCACCAACCCACCAACCAACTGTGGCTGGCCGCGCTCTGCACCGGGATTCATAATAGCTGGAGTGTTTCCAAATCAGTTCTCAAATCGGATTAAACATGTGCGTTAGGGGCTTGGCTTTCTTTGCTGATTTGTTTAAAAGTCTTAAATGAGAAAACAATGCCAGGGGCTATTTATAGGGACAAGTTAACCAGTCAGTTGACAGAAGATTATTTAATGTACTGTTTTGCTTTTTAGATTATGTTAATTTGCTTCATTGCACAGTTAGTCAGTGATGTCATACACAGTCCTGCCTGAATTGATCCACCTTTGGGCCCGTAACGGGCTTAAAAGCCGCGTGTTTGGCCGATATCTGTGACCAAACCGATCTTTTTACCCCCATCAGCCATTGTGGTTTGAAATAAACTGCCTGTAGCTCGTTCAGGTAGCCAGCTCTGCATTGCCTCCCACTATATACACTGTATGTCCTTTAGCTGACCCCGGTGTTATTCCACAGTTTCCTTTCTGTTCACTTTTAAGTCACAAGCGCCTGTTGACTGTTGATTCTGACCCTGGCAACACATGATGGCTGAAACGTGGTTGGATAAAAGCTCTCACATTGGCATCAAAATCTTAAACTGAGGCTGTACAGCAAGAGGAAAGCTATACTAAAGAGAATAGACTATGGGGAATCATTTAATACATGTTTGTGGGGAAAAAAAATATGAAAAGGAAATTGATATTCTCATGATTTTGCACAGCAAAGAAGGCCCGCCACTGATTAATGAAGCTTACCTTTCTGTTAAACATCAAGTCAGAGAGACAATTAGCTTCCAGAAAAGACTGGAAACGGGCAGAAAACAGAAAGTCTGGCTCTGTCCAAAGTGCCTACCAGCACAACTAAAGATTCCTAATTAACACGTGTTGTCTGGCCTGATTGTGTAAGTGTAAAAACACACTGTGGGGATTATGGTGCCACCTTTGTATTTGTCTGGTTACCTGGCAGTGACGACAGCAATAGTCCTTATGCTGTGCTAAGCTGCCCTGCTCTGAGCTGTATCTTCATACCAAAAAACCTTAGCCCTAAGTTGTTAGAGTAGGATTTCTACTGTTTTGTATTTCCGTATGTTTTGATGGAAATGTTTATGCTATTTTATAGACCTAAAGATTAATGGATACACCCAATAACAGTAACAATCTTTAGTTGCAGTCCTAAAACAATTGGTATGAAATATTGAAATAAGGTTTCCTCTAATTTCAACGGTCTGTCAGTGTTTATGAATTTAAAAAGCGCTCTGAGATTTGGGGCAGATACGAGTCATAAATAGAATATGCGCGCTACGCTTTTGGTTTTGACACATTGTAGTCAGCATACGACACTGAGTGCAATGTTTGGATGGTCGGATATTTTCATGGCAGTGTTGGAGAAACATGGTGCAAGATATGAAATCCCACAACTTTTCTTGTAAACTCCACCTTCAAGATATATCTATATTTTATATATTCTCTGCGGAATGAGAAAATACGCCGTTCCCATGTTCGGAGGAAATCCTACTACTTCTTTATTCCTTATCTTGTAGTTTTCTATAAAGTCCAGTGTGCTGCGTTAATGCTGTGCAGGTTTACCTCGTATCACGCGGAGGCCGGAGAAGAAAACGAGACTACATGCAGTCCGCTGCTGTTTGTGACGGTGACGGATTATGTGTTTAGTAAGAGACAGGAAGACGAGGAGAGTTAGAGGGCATTAAGCCCTGGTTTGCCCTGCCAGGAAACGAGGCGGAGATGGTCTGCAGTATCGAGTACTTCATCTGCGGGGCAACGGTTTTACCTCCTTTGGCTGATGGACAGTGAGTCCGCAGCCGAATATTTCAATGAAAATCTTTGAGATTGACACATTAAAGCGAAGGTATGTACAGTCAATACAACAAATGGCTCTACATGCGTTTGAATGTGTTTCCATTTCCAGTTGATTATATTTGTCCTCTGTGACTCCAATGAAGCCCTCACAAGCTTTACCAGAACACAGTCTTCTTGATTGGCTTTGATTCTGTTCACTGTGTTCCCTCACAAGCTGAACATTACATGAGAAGATAGAACCAAGAGGCAATTAGCCTGGCTTACCTTGTAATATGATGCATCTCTTGGTTCATGTGCACGCAAACAGAAATGTTAAAACAGGGTTCATTCACATCCAGCAGCCTGAAAAGACTGAAGCTCAAGTCAAGATGTAATCATAATGAAGTTCATCTCACAATCAGAGAGTAGACGAAATGCAGTGTACCGTACAGGCAATAGTTATTTATAACGTAAGCTCTAGATCCAGTAATTCACAGGCATAAGGGTGTAATTGAAATTTCTAACTCTTTGCAAATTTCCCAAAATGAATAGAGACCCATTCTTAGTTTATGGATATATTTGTTTGGCGGTTTCATTCATAAAGACATTGCGATGTTTACACTGGAGCGACCCAATGACTGTACCCTGGAGGGATTTAAATAATAGAGAGCCACAGCAGTCTTGAGGTGAAACGGTCACTGCACTTGTGAGGTGTCGGCCAGGGAGAGGCTCTAACACGGGCAGCTACTTCACGTTCATGTGTCCACACGGATGTGAGTGCACGTTGTCCTTTAGGGTTCTTTGAGCCGGGGCAGTGTAGCTGAACCATGGTCATAATGTCAGACTGTGCTTCTCTGCACCACTGACTCGTTGACAATATTCTGTTATTCTTATACTATTCCAATACTGGTCTTGCAAATCTCTGTCAAAACATTGAGTTTCCCGTTTTAGCCGGTCAAGAAGATTATAGACAATGTATTTATGTCACTGAACACCCACCAGCTGAGAAGTGCTTGTGGAACAAGCAGGGGAATTATTTATTTTAATATATTTAATATAATATTTATCTTTATAACCCTTGAGGTTGTTTCATTTTGCTTTGCATTACAGCCAGAAAATGAATTGAAGTTCATGGCTGCTCTCGCCTTTCAGCACAATGCATTAATCAGCAGAGCTACAAAGGTTTATTTCGCTGCCAGCGAGTGCTCGACCTATACTGTACGCCCAGAGAATATTAAAGCTTCATCCCTGCTGGAGAAATCTATTTTCAGGGCTGCTCTCTTTGTCCAGTATTACGAACAAAAAAGTAGATAATGTTTCACGTTCCCAAGAGTGTTTCAACATGCATGTTTCCAGCTCCCTCAGCAACATGTACTCCCTTGTTTTCAGTTAGTGCGTCAAACAAGCAGTAAGCTCAGTCCACACGACCCAAGTGAGCTGCTCGCGATGTGAGGATGCCGCAGGTCAAAGGTACACATACATGCACAACCACGTACTCCATTTAAAAGAACCTTAACATGAATCCTGAACGTGAAGCAAAGCCAAAAATGAAGATGGTCCTGATGCCGCTGGACCTGGTTAACCGCTGTGGCGCAGCGTTGTTCACCGTTTGTAGGCGGTCCGAGGATGACTTGCAGATGAAGGTGAAAGGGCAACTGAAGACTTGAGTCTATATTTGTGTTTGTCCTTTGCATATCTCAAGAGCCGATCATCTAATCTACTTCCCACTTGGCAAGTGTATTTCTGCGAAAGCAAGGATCTGCATCTGCAGCAATGTGGCCTTTACAGAGCACAACTCATTTACTGCAGTTCACTTTCGCTACTGGATACACTAAAATGAGTTGCCGAATCAAATATAACAAAGAGATTTCTAAGGTAGGACTGCTCAGCAGCGGAAAGAAACACAATGCACTGATCAACCTGGGAAGCTCAGCTATGTGAGGAAAACCTCACACTTATCTGATTTTAACTAAAGATGGTCGCCATTTAGCACACAAGTGAGCAATTTAGTCAGAACTTCTCTGCTTTATCAAGCTTAAAAAATATGTATAGTTCATTTAGTTCATCAATATCATTCATTTACCAGTGATATAAGAGATGCTTTTAAATGTGCTAATGAAATTATTCAAGGCAAGCATATACACGTTAAATAATATACCAAGCTCCAATCAATCAATCAATCATCAATTTTTGCATTCCTTGAGAAAAATATTTTGCG